ATAGCAATTTTTATGGGATTTACAAATATACCCCTTAAAAATAAATGAAAATGTTTTCATGCAGCCTAAAACTTGCAAAACACAAGCATAAATGGTGAAAAAAAAATAATAAATGATATGCAATATAAAATATAAGATAATTTCCAAACCAAAGCATATCAAAGAAAGAAGATTTATGTGAGAAGTTTGGTAAACGGAATGCTTACGAGATATGGAAGAGCAAGCCGACCAGTTTACTTCCCGCTTTTTCATTTAGCTACAGCCAATATTGGCAAATTCAAGACTAGAGAGACCGAGTCCCTAACCTTGGTACAAGTAGCCTCAAACCATAATATAAATATGAGGATAGTGAATTCAGATACAATATAAGATATATGATAATATTTATACCAAGGCATACAAGGATAAAGAATTAATTTGAGAAGTTTGGTAAGCAGAATGCTTGCAGGAAATTCAAGAGCAATCTGACCAGTTTGCTTCCCGCTTTTATCTATATAGCTACAGCCGACATTGGCTAATTCAAGACTAGAGAGATAACAAAGCCTCTAACCTTGGTACATGTAGCCTTAAAGGCTACAAACCACTAATAATAAACAATGAGGGCAAAAGATGTACAACAAGATATAAAGAAATGTTCAAACTAAGAAACGTCCATTTAAGGGAGAACATGAATCTACAATTAGAAGTTGTATCCATTTTTAAGTATAGGTTAAGGGTTCTATTCACAATAATAACCAACATGCAAAGGCAGAAGTTAAGACTTTACACAACAACCCACCCAAAACCCTACATCTTTTTAAAACCAACCACTAGATTTTAACCTTTTTTAAATTATATTAGCTAATCCCGTCATCTATAGTGACAAATAAGAGATTTGAGTGACATGATCAGCTTAATTTAATAGACAATGTAGCATACCTCAACAAGGTGTAAGTGAAGATTTATGTGAGAAGTTTGGTAAACGGAATGCTTGTGAGATATTGAAGAGCAAGCCGACCAGTTTGCTTCCCGCTTTTTCCTCTAGCTACAGCCAGTACTGGCAAATTCAAGACTAGGGAGATCAAAGTCCCTAACCTTGGTACATGTAGCCTCAAACCATTGATATAAATATGAGGATAATGAGTTTAGATACAATATAAGATATGAGACAATATCTATACAAGGCATATAAGGATATAGGATTAATTTGACAAGTTTGGTAAGCAGAATGCTTGAGAGATATTCAAGAGCAATCTGACCAGTTTGCTTCCAGCTTTTATCTATATAGCTAAAGCAGACATTGGCTAATTCAAGACAGGAGAGATAACAACGTCTCTAACCTTAGTACATGTAGCCTTAAAGGCTACAAACCACTAATAATAAACAATGAGGGTAAAAGATGTACAATTTATGATAAAAAGAAATATTCAAACTAAGAAACGTTCATTAAAGAGAGAAATTGACTTGACAATTAGAAATTGTGTCCATTCTAAGTATAGGTTAAGAGCTCTAGTAACAATAATAGCCAATATGCAAAGGCAAGATTTAAGATTTTATACACCGACCCACCTCAAACCCTACATCTTTTTAAAACCATCAACCAGATTTTATCCTTTTTCATTTATATTAGCTAAACCCGTCATCTATAATCATAAATAAGAAACTTGAGTGACATGATCAACTTGATTTAATAAACAATGTCACATACCTCTACAAGGTGTAAGAAAAGCTTGACTAAATCAAACGGAATCCTGAAGATAATTAAAATTTAGATTACCACACTACTGGTATCCTTAACATAAAGGAAGTAGAAACAAAATAAATAGATGTCACGTTATGGTGATCAACGCTTCCCTCTAACACAGCACAGGAGAAATTATATTCATTATTAATAATACATGTATTACTTCTTATAAAAAGCTAACATCTTAGTATGCATTTAAAATCATATTATAAGCGATGGAAAAAGAGAAAAAAAGCAAATTATAGGAAATAGACAACAAATACCTAAATACTAGTTTTAAGAAAGTCCATATAAGTTTTGAACATTTGAGTTTGAATTACTTATATCATAAAATAATCCTTAATGCAGCAATGAAATGATATTATACGTATTTTTCACACACACAAACAAACATACATACATGCATACATACACATATCCAGGCAGGCAGACACATACACATAGACAAACACACAGACACGCAGACACGCAGATACACAGGCATAGACACAAACACAGACACAAACACACAGACACATTCACACATACAAATTAAACTATCATGCATGATTAAATTGTCTCCATACAAATTCCTAAAAGACGGGAATCTTCTAGTGATAAATTAGAAATGGAATCATCTAAAAACAAAACTGTTTTTCATCACAAAGAGAACAGAGAAACTATTTGTTCGAAAATATTTTATCATTTATGATAGCATTAAATGCATGTCCGGTAAACATATTAAGAATCACCAAAAAAGCTCATATTACTTTTAAGAGAAAAAAAATGCAATTGTGAAGTGCAAAAGACTAAAGGTGGACTTGTTTGTCCATAATATCAATTATACATATAGTGCTAACTTGAGGTTGTAAAGTGCAAAAAAATAACTCAAAAATGAGTTCAAAAGTAAAAAATTGAAGTTAAAAAATGTGATCAATATAAAGCTCGATGCTGTTGACTGGTAAAGCTCGATGCTGTTGACTGGTGCTAACAAAGATGCAACCAGTTGGAGCCACAACTGGCAAAAAGAAAGAAACCAAGCATTGGAATATTCACATAAATGCCACAAATTTAAACACAAGCAATCCCATGCAACAAGAATAAAGAAATTTACAAAGACAGGCAAGCATTTATAGAAAGCGTGCCCAATTAGCAATTCAATAAATAAGTAAATGTCAACTTTAATAAATATAAAAGAGACAAACATGTTCAAGCAACTACATTGCTATAGAGTGGTACCCATTGTAGCGTCCCTCACACTCAAGAGGTCAAGAACCAATAAAAGTTCGACATAAAAAACAAATTAAATCTAAGAGTTAAATCCAAATCTGAAGGATTTGACAGAACTCCAAGTACGGTAACTGCATGACATTTAAAAAATATACGATTGCTACATTAAATTTCTCCCATTAGACATTCAATAATAATGAATTTTTAGGGTGTTTAGAATCACAGCCATTGCAGATCCTACCATTTATCCTTTACAACAACTTCAACACACATTGTTGAGTTTATCTCCTTTATTTTTAAACAAATAGTTGTATTGTTTCCCAATCCAGTGGGATCTCCAAGTTTTCAAAATTTTCTACTTGAAATAAGTTGTAGGGTGAAATGAGAATACAAAGATCCAATCCCTTCATATTAGGGATAGTTCACCAAACACTAAAGACGAAGAATCACATTTCGCAATTGAAAGCTACAAATCAAGCTATAGACTAAATATATGAGCTACCACAAAAAACCATATAGTTTTGATCAATAGATAAAACTCAAACCGGTGAAAGTGCCACATCTAAATCAACTTATGATGACAGAGGGGCCAAATTACAACCAAAGAAAAATATGTAAAATGGAAGCATTGTGAATGTAAATGACTAGAACGGGGGCTATTAAGATTGATTTAGAGCCGAGATTAGGTATACTCAATCAGCTCAAATAAATTGAGTGCCGCTTGAAATAGGCTCAGGCTCGTTATAATCGATTTTAAGCCAGCTCAACAAAAAATTGAATCGAGTTTGATCCAACTCGAAATCGAAACAAGTTGGCTCAAATTAAGTTAATTGACTCCGTTCCAGCTCGAAATCGGCTCGATCCGACTCAAAATCAAAATGAGCTGGCTCAAATTGAGTTATTTAGATTCGTTCCAGCTCGGAATCAGCTTGTGGCTTGTCATATTTAATTTTATTAAACATTACTTGTGTGTGTGACAATATATATATATA